CTCTCCCCCTACTATTTTATCATCTGAACTGGATCAGACCAGTTTTCAGTAAAATTTACCTTTTTTTTTTCGATTTGGTGTCAAACTCTGAAGGATCCCATGGTGTCACCCTCTAAACTCTAAACAATATTACTCTGTGCGGACCGCTCCCAGTGCCGGCGCCAGGTTATTTAGCGCCCTAGGCAAAACTTATTAAAAGCGCCCCCCCCCCCCCCGCAATTTTTGTTCGTGCCCCAGTATTTATCAGAGGCGTAGCGACCCTTCCCGGCGCCCGGGGACAAACTTTCGATGTGCAACCCCCCCCCCCCCCTCAAACTTTCGATTTGCACCCCCCCCCCCCCCCCCCTCAAACTTTCAATTTGTTTTTTCCAACCCATTTTGGCGCCCCTACGGACAGCGCCCTAGGCGACCGCCTAGTTTCGCCTTATAGGTAGCGCCGGCCCTGACCGCACCCCCCCCCCCATTACTTCGACCGATACGCCTACTAATTAGTTAAAATAATTCTACTAGCCTCGGCTACAAGCTACAATATAGGCCTACTACAGATCTAGCAGTAAAGAAAAACACTCCTTTATTGTTGTTTTTTTTTTTTTGGTTTTTTTTTTTTGGTTTTTTTTTTTTTAGAAATGTCCGTATTGATACCCAGACACTGGTGTGAATTCTCTTAATAATTAAAGTTCCCTTTACGAACCTGGCGGTCCATGGGGACAAATGAAGTAGAGCTCACCTGTTATCAGTGTTTCTTCCAGACTTTTTTCTCCGGGGGGGGCACTTGAAATTTTCGGGGGGGGGCGGTAAACTTTCTTCGGGGGGGGCGGACACTGTTAAAAGTATATATTTTCTATATAAATAATATAAATTTCATTTCGTTCGGGGGGGGCGGTAAAAAAATTTTCGGGGGGGCTTCGCCCCCCCCGAAGAGATGCCTGGAAGAAACTCTGCCTGTTATGTGACCTCGCCATATGGGCGAATAACGTCGTTACACATGTAGATTACCGATTAGTTATCTCCCCCTTTCCCCCCCCCCCCCCCCCCCAACTTAGCGCATCGTTTTAAACCAAGATTTCTAGTACAAAACTAATAAATTAAAAACGATCCAAATCACTCTAGCAAGGGGCTGTAGCTCAAGTGGTAGAGCGCTCGCTTAGCATGTGAGAGGTACGGGGATCGATACCCCGCTGCTCCAAAATTTTGGCATTATGTTTTATTTAGCCTAAATGTGTCGCTTGATCTCTTTTCTTGGTCTCTCTTTCTACCTCTTCCCACGACCCCAATTATAATTCTTGAGTGAACAAAAGCGTTTATGTTTTTCGATGTGAAAATGTAAGAACTGTAGCTAAATATCACAGGCCAAGACGACTGGTTTTTGTTTTTTTGAATTGACAAATTCATTTGCTTTCTCGTGAAAAATCAAATTTTAGTTGGAATTTTTTGCAATAATTGAAGCTACATTTAAAGTTTGTTTTGGCATTTTTTATGTAGTTGTCATGTTGACGTTTTTTATCTAACCGGATGTTGATAAAAGCGGTTCTTTTAAAAACAGAATTAACATTTACAACCTGATGTTAAAAAAGTTAAAAAAACTGTTAGATCTAGATTGAACTAAAACCCGGAGTATTTACTATTTAGATCTTGTAAATTTATAATTTATACTAAATTCACAAGAAACTCGAAGAAAGTCATAACATCTAACGGTAAAACTCCATTTTAGCGTATTTTATTCCCCGCTTGACGTTCACCTCCAGTTGAGCATACCGAAACACACAAAATGTGACAAAAACGTTAGGAAAGCACAGATCTACTTATGGTAATCTATCGTTTTGGGTACGTAAAATCGCCCGCGATTTGTAATGTGAAAAACAGGTGACTCCTTAAATTTTAATAATTATTTCACATTTTGAGGAAGATTTATGTTTAAAAAAATTCAAAAATGTTTCCTTGATTCATTTATGTACCTGTTTTTAAACAATTGAATTAAAACTTTTCCGTAATAAATGAAGACTAGCGATGTTTCCAACAGATGCAACCATGCACATTTACTATAGCAGCCATCTTGTCTAAGTTTTATTTTTATAAGCTTTTAGCGCCAGATTCAGGGGGAAGCCACTCTATTTTACAAATGGCTGCTGTTTATATAGCAAATCTTGCTCTCAGACACTGCTGTTTAAAGTTAATTTCTGGCCTATATCGATATATTTAGCCATTGATTTAGGTTTATTATTCATTTATCTATAATATTTGACACAAACATATCACAATATACTTCTATTAAAGCCTTGACAATGAGGTAACGTTTTCGTACATAAATAGCCGCGGGCGATTTTACGTACCCAAAACGATAGATTACCCTACTTATTTTTTTTTATAACTGCAATTTTTTATTAGAAAAGGTAAAAAAAAAACAAAAAAAACATTAGACTAAGAACTGTTCCAATTAACTATCGTGTGATCGTCAGCGGGAGAAAAATCCTTACATGGTCGCTGGTTCACCGTTAGTTCACATTGACTTTAATTATTAAATTATCAGCATACGTCATAGCTCGGGCAATAGCTGTTTGAAATTGTGTTGGCCTCAGTTTTGGGGTCATTGTAATTGTAAGTTCATTAATATTTATTTATAGTATCATGCCTGGGAGATACTTGTAACAGTACAAACTTAACCGCCTTGCAATTGTGAGTTACGTTTACTTACGTATTTCACCCATTGCCATGAAAATTCTGATGCACGAACATTGCACATTTAATATTCTAAATTTGGATTTTTCTCAACTTTTCACAAAAGTAAATTATCAAAATCTAAAACAAAGTCAGTCTCTTTGTTTTTTTTATTCATTTTTATTCATTTGTTAAAACAAAAATACAATACAAATAATAAATCGTGTTTTCCTAATGTTTTGGTGTGTTTCGGTTGTTATAATAAAATATGCTCAACTGGAGGTAAACAAGAAGTGGAGAATAAAATACGCTAAAATGGAGTTTTACCGGCTAGGCCATTAGGGACAGGGTTAGGTTAGCAACCTGAACTTGTTACTTAGTAATACTTAGCATTGACATTAGCCAGTCCTGAGTGTATTTAGTTAACTACCAGTAGCCTAACACCCCTTTTTTAAAGAAGATTCCATTATCTGACACCGGTGTAAACATTCTCCTGATGTTTTTTTTAAAAATGTGGTCCTTATGAAAGGAACATTGACAACCACACACAATTTATATTTTGATCTATGTCAACAATAATTAGTAACAATTAGTGTTTATTCTGGCAGTTGACTAAATATCAACCAAAATATTATTCTGTTGGCTTTTGATCCAATGATTTAAACCAATGTTATTGGCTATTTAGTCAAAATTGGAATTTCTAACAATTTAAGTATTCTATGCTAATGTTTTCATACAATTATTGTTACATTTTTTTAATGACAGTATTGCTACAATGGAACAAGAACAGGTCCTAAGTGAACAATTGATTAGCTCTATAATTGGTGACCTGCAACTGCCCTTCTGCAATGATTCTAATGTAAGCAAACATAAACTGGATACCACAACAGACCTTGAAAGGGAGGCCAGTAGAAAATCGAAGAAGAAACGACGTTCCAGTTTATCAAATCACCGGAGATCTATCACCGGTTTTATATCTACAAAAGTAAATCTAGGTAAAATTCTTTGCCATTTAAATGTTTTATGTCAAACGAATCTTGCCATCGATTATTCCTTTTGAAATACCGACCTTAAATCTTAAAGCTGTGTCATTTTTAAAAACATTAATTTTCTTCTTCTTTTTCGTTCTTAATTATTAGTGTTGAAGGGGGTCGAGATTTATCTGCCAGTGGGTTTGAACTTGAGACTTTGTTCGAATTTATCAACCATGAGCTTTTTGCCGACTCGACCACGCCTCCAACACAATTAAGCGTTGCGGGTCAACTGTTTATGCGCCATTGAGGCCATTAACTCCGATTTCAGCCTGCTTTTCTTTTTGGATTTGCTTCCATAGCCTTTGTCCAACCAAGAACAAACTACTAGGCAGTAGTTGTTTAATTTTGGAGTTGTCTCTCCTAGAAGAGTGGCTGTCCCCTGCTAACAAGCCTCATCTGCCCGAGGATTCGAACCCGAGACTTTTCGGTTTAGCAACAATGAGCTTTACCGACTCGACCACGCCGACCCCTAATTTTCTTCTATTATTAATGAGAATGTTGTTTGTTTAATGTATTAGGAAAATTGGTTGTGGTTAGTTATAATTCCATCTAATTAGTTAGATTGTTAGTATTTAAAATTACTCCAGTTCATTCATTTTGAAATACAGACCTTAAAAATTAAAGCTGTGTCATTTTTTTTTTAAATTAATTTTCTTCTATTATTAATGAGAATGTTGTTTGTTTAATGTATTAGGAAAATTGGTTGTGGTTAGTTATAATTCCATCTAATTAGTTAGATTGTTAGTATTTAAAATTACTCCAGTTCTCTCCCCTTACTTAAAACCAAACACATTTCAATTTATTTTAAACATTTTATTTTTGTTTTTATTGAGGTTTTTTTTAAATTATGATTTATATGAACATTAGTCATTTAACTGTTCCATTGACATAGTCCCTGGAATATTTCATTATCGCAATTTGTATGAATCTCATGCTCTAGTTTGCGGCAAATAAAATGCATACAATTTTATAAGCTAAAATGTTATTTTCAGAGACAGAACCTTCAAGCCAAGGGAGCTCAGAGAATGAGGGTAGTCAGCAGAGTCAATCTTCTGAGTCTGATAAGAGGTAGCTTTTCTCACTGACTTTTAGTTATTTTTAAAAACAAATTTTAGAAAGATGTGGGAGAAAAAAAAATAATTAAATTTGATATTTTAAAACAGATAGTAGGATTAGTTGTGAGAAGCACAGTAAATAACATAGTGTGTAATTTTTACTTAATACCATAATGATATAGATCTAGTTTTCTAGCTCAAATTTTCTCAAAATCTATTTTAGGTTACCTGGAAGCTCTGTTGACAGCCCTTTAGATATCACAATATCCAAGTTGGAAGCTGACATAGCCAAGTTTGTTTTCTAAATAATTTTTTTGTTCTTGTAATTTTGACATTTAAAATTAGTGATAAAACTCTTGTCTTTAGAAGAGCATTGTCATTATATTTGTAGTGTATCAAATAATATGGGAGCTAACCTTGGCAGTCATATACTGTAACATTGTTAGAATAGCACCACTGTTGTAATGTTAGTGAAATGTACATTAAATAGTGAGTTAAGAATCATCAGTCATCATCTGGATGCCAACCACAGTAGATCAAATAAACTATGACTGTTTTTGTGCTAAACCTAGTTGTGTTATTTAGAATCCATCATTTATCATAAAACCAATACCATGAATATTTCATTATTGGTTTAACGTTATTGTCGCAGTCAAAATATTAACTAGGGCTATTTGACTTTATCTGATGCATAAATATAAATACTGACATAAATATTCAAGCCCCTAACAGCCTTATTAAAATAAAAATATAAATTTTTATGCCACTAATGCAGAATGTCAATTTTGTGATTAAAATACTTATAGTACTAGAATATTCTATTTAACTTTATATTATCCACAACCAATATTTATATCACTTTTAAAATTTTTTCCAGATTTGAAAATGAATGCAAAGAATGGGACAAGCTCTTCTCTGACTATAAACAAAAGGAAAGTGAAACCAAAACGTAAGTTTGTTGTAGAAATTCCCTTATCTTTCTCCTAGCTTTATGGTGGGCTATCTTGTATGATCACTATAAATTTCTTCCTATTCATACAATTTAAAAAAAAAATCTGTGGTTGAATGATGTATGTACAGATTCATTCCACCAGTGGTACCAACATTATTTAAATTGATTAGTACATTCTAATATATATATATATATATATATATATATATATATATATATATATATATATATATATATATATGTTTTATCAAACAGTATAGATCTAGCTTCAGAGCATTTTAATTTTTATTCTATCATTTATGTTCACTATCAAATTTTTAGCATAAAACTAGTTACTATTTTGATAAGTTACTAGGTGAACCCTACTACAGATAAAGTAGGGTTCACCTGTTTCTGTGACCTCAGCATATGAAGAAGTACTGTGCTCAACTGCATTAACTTTCCCTAAAAGAAGTACTTATAAGAGTTTGATGTCCTACAGATTCGAACCAGGCATCATTACTCAAGACTTTTGAGTCATGCGCTTTACCATCCAACAATGCTGTCCCTATCTCTTTATCTTTTACAGATTGATTGTTATGCACTATTATTTTGGCAAAAAAGTAATTGTTTATAATTTATACTAATTTTTATGCACACAATTTGTACAGAATGTGTTCAGATCTGACCCTGTCTATGGAGAATGTACCAGCTAATTTAAAAGAACTAGGAACCTCCGAGTACATCAAATGCCAGCCTTTAGATTTGCTGCAAACTAAACAGACGTTGGACAAACTTTTCCTAGATTTTGAATTTAATGTAAGATTTTAAATTTATTTTTTATTCCATCTTGAACCATTTGATTTAGAAAGTACTAAGATTCTGTATAATTATGTAAACTCCTTAAAAACAGCCTACAATTTTAGCATGAGGTAATTATTTTTCTGAAAAATCATTTCCTTAAAAGAGTTGTCTCTCTTAGTTGTTGTAACCACTATGCCTTAAAGTTTTTAAATGTCACCACTATAAAGTTTTTAAATGACAGACTAAATAAAATATAATATAAATTTTAACTTCAGTATCTGACTTTCTTGCTGGTATTCTAGTTGGCAAAAAAATGTTCTTTGATTACACCGGCAGTCTAGATGCTAAAATGTTTAATGGTTGATCCTTCTTTTCTTTTTTCCTGTTTGTGCCCACAACACGGGCAGATGAAGTAGAGTTCATCTGTTTCATTGACCTTGACAAACAGGGGAATAATGTGGTCAGCACTATGCCAAGCCGCCTTTGTTTCCCTAATGTGAGTTAGATACCCATCAGAGCTGGGTGGACTCAGAGACAGTCTACTGATTTGAACCTGGATTTGAACTCGCGACTTTCTGGTTAGCAGTCCAGCTCACTGGTTGATCCTAGCTTACCCTGATTGGACACACGTGTTGGGGCTCCTAGATCCCTCTCTGTGCTAGTGTGTACATAGGTTGGTTACTCAGTGATAACATACAATCAGAGCTAGAGCAACTTTGGGCTCACTGAAAAATCCTGAATTGCTGTTGATTCTATTCATTTTTTTATATATATATGTTTTAAATGCACACATGTCTATTGATAAACTTAATTAAATAGTTTAGTTAAGATTAATAAAAGTTAAGTTTTAAAACATCTCATGACATTGGTTCTTAAAGTCCAGTATATGTCTAACACATTTCACTTAAAAAAGATGTAGTTATTTGAATAATGGTAGATAGACAAGTCAGCTTATAGACTACAAATTACTTCAGTTGCTTATACTGGCACAACTTTCTGATAACTGCTAAACTTTAAAAATGTTGAGGGAAATTTAAAGTTTTTATTTAGGATTAATCTATCAATTCCACTTATGTCTATTATTTATTTAACTAAACATTTAAAATGTATCTTTAAATTCATGTTGCTAGAAGTTGTACATGCCCCATTACAAAAAAGGTATTTGTTTATCACAGCTGTTTTCTTTAACCTGAGATGCACATATACGTCAAGGTGGTAGAAAATACTAATTAAAATTGTCTAAATGGCAGTCTTCTTCTTTGTTCTTAATTATTAGTGTTGAAGGGGATCGAGATTTATCTGCCAGTGGGTTTGAACTCGAGACTTTGTTCGAATTTATCAACCATGAGCTTTTTTGCTGACTCGACCACGCCTCCAACACAATTAAGCGTTACGTGTCAACTGGTTTTGCGCCATTGAGGCCATTGACTCAGATTTCAGCCTGCTTTTCTTTTTGGATTTGCTTCCATAGCCTTTGTCCAACCACGAACAAACTACAAGGCAGCAGTTGTTTAATTTTGGAGTTGTCTCTCCTAGAAGAGTGACCGTCCCCAGCTAACGAGCCTCCTCTGCCCGAGGGTTCGAACTCGAGACTTTTCGGTTTAGCAACCATGAGCTTTACCGACTCGACCACGCCGTCCCCTAAATGGCAGTCATATGGAGACCTTCAGGATTCTACAATCTGTTACTGTTTAGAGTTTGCAAATTGGCATATTCCACTGAACATCATTTTCCATCAGACATTTGTGGCAACAGACAGTGAGAATAAAACATTATTTTAGTTATTCAAACAATGGCTTTTTTTTTTTATTTACAGCGCTCCTCTTGCATAAAAGATGTCAGGCTTATTAAAGAAACAGCTGAGTGTCTACATAGTTCCTTCAAACACATGTCCGGCAAGCTGTGTAAGTAGCACAGATTTGATAACTCACTTCCTCAGAACTAGACTTCTAACTTTTTCCTTGATTTATAGACCATCTTTTTCTAAATCCACCCAAGTATCAAAATTTTTTTGCTGTATCGTCCATTTATTTATTACACAAAATTTAATTTCACACATAGGGCCTATATGCTTAATATATAAATGTTAAGGAAAGCAAAAACTTTAGGCTTGTGAACTATTTTTAAAAACTGGAGTTACTGTTTTAAACTTTCAACAGCTCCTTTCAAAGATGAAATACATACTAAATTTTCAATCAAATTTATATAATCTGTACCTGATTTTTACATATTTTTTTTCTTTCAGCCGAAGGTTCAAAAAATTGGATAGATGATTTTCCTGAAAGCATGAAATAAATTTTTTTACACTAGATACTGGAATTCTGAAATTATTTTTAATGATCTCCCTTTATTAATATTACATAACAAAACTTTGAAGTGAACAACTTGATCAAAAGTGGTTGTCCCTTCAACTTTTAGGTCTAAAGAGGCATCTTTTTACCTTTACTAACGATTCATTGGGCAGATGAAGTAGAGTTCATGTTTCTTAGCCTTGGCATATGAAGAGATGGTGTTAACACCTTCCCTAGCAGCCTTTACTTTTCCTAAGACAGATACCCATCAGAAATGAGTGGACTCAGCAGTCACTAGTCTAAACCGAGATCTGAACTTAATACCTTTGGGTTAGCAGCCAAACGCTCTACCATTCGACCACTGTCCCATAACTTAAAATAGTTACCTTACTTTCAGTCTTGGGAAACAATAACAGAACAATAAGCTAGCTCTAAATTTTTTTATTTCTCAAAGCATTCCCAATGAACAAAAAAAAAAACACCCTCCCTTCAATATAACTGCATATCAAGCATTTGTCAAAAAGATGCATTGTTTGAATCCACACAAAAAATAATCACTAATGCTAGGTACTAATGTATATATACAACAAGGGGAGAATCAGATGCCATGAACACAATTTTACTACAGATCATCATCAATGACAGTGCATAATTGACATTCAGTACACGACAACCATGACATTAACACTTTAGAGTACCTTGTAAGTTTACACATTCAAAACATTTATTACCATTTAAATCTAATTCATTTTAGTGTAATGATATGACTAAACCCATAGAATGAATTTTCCCCCCTCTGAGTTCATGAGAATTACTTTGAAACAATTAAATCCAAAAGATCTCTCATTTCCTTTAATGTACAGAATAGAACAACATTCATTTGTGACAATCCCATAACTTAGTTTAAACTTAACCCACTCAGAATATACAGGGCCATCAAGCTTATCTAGAACTGAATCAAACATTTACCTAAAAAGTTAAAGAAAACACACTATATACACATGGATGACTGACATAAAAAATCTAGTGAAATATCTCATTTAAAATAAAGAAAGAAAATAAAAATGTCATTAAATCATATATTTAAAGACTTCTGTCAGTTTAAAGGAAGAAAATTGGTGTATTATATATCTGAGCATGAGGGTAAGTCAACATCTATTTTAAAAACAAAATAAAACTTGCGAGATAAGGTAAAACAGAGATTTGTAAAACCAAAAACACAATTTTCAGAACTGATTATAGTCATGCTATTATTGTACAATGATTTATGTAAAAACCATAAGATTCAGACCATAAAATAATGTCTGAAACTGCTTAGTGTCCATAAAAACTTTTTTTTAAAAATAAATGAGAAATGCACTGAACACACTCAAAAATTGAGAATTATAAATTTAACCTTATGTAATTAAAACAGTTGAATTAAAAAGCAATATTGATAACTTGTAAAATGATAAAATTATTAGAATTTTTCTTTAAAGATATGAACTATTTGTCAAAAAAATGTATAAATATTTATATTAAACATTTGAATGCAACATATTCAATTAATTTTCAATCTTGCACACATGGTAATTAAAATATTTATATAATGAGGGATTTACATTCAAATTATTCTAGGTTAAATCACGTAGCATTACATAATGACTTGCTCACAAACTAGACAGTTTGGTAATAAATTATAATTTTAAATAAAATTTTATCATAAATATCTCTAAAAGCAAATTTTATGTTACTGGACAATTAAAGGTAATGTGGCAAAAATCTACACAATGTAAAATGAATACCTAATATGTGGTAGAATAATTACCAGCATTCAACAGAATTTTTAAACAACAATCTAAACTAAAAAAAATAAATTAAAATGTGTGACAATTCATGTATATATAAATATGTATGCGGAGATGGGAAAAGTCATAAATCATGATCGATGTAGAATGTATAAAGGGCACCAGTGTCTGTCTAATATGCAACTAAACATGCATGAAAAGGGCACATAGAAATTTCGCACACCCAGCACAATTTCATCACATTTCACACACACATTCTGATTCTTTTTTTCCTGAGAACTAAACACACAGAGGAACAGTGGCATCAACAAATGAAGCCTTCCTTCCAACAATAATTGTCAGCTGATGGTATCTTTGTTTTGAAGAATAACATCTTCAATTACTAATATAGCCATCAGGTATCTTAGGAATCACACTTTAACTTAATTTAAATGGAATTACTTGTATATGATTTGTTAAAAAGTCAGACTAATGCAATACTTAAAATTACTTGAGAATATTACTAGTGAATAGTCAAATGGAATTACTTGTATATAATTTGTTAAAAAGTCAGACTAATGCAATACTTAAAATTACTTGAGAATATTACTAGTGAATAGTCCATATGAAACATTTTTTAAAAATAAATCTACATTTAAAAAATTCTTTTACTTAGTGTTAACACATGCTTTGGTTGTAAATTTTTCAAGTACGAACCTTGATAGAAAAATATTTCCATTGACAATGCCTTATGCTAGTTGTTATTTAAAACTAATCGACATAAAAAAAAAAGCTATTAAATAAAACTTCCCCTTCACAGGCTTAAGGCTTATTTGTTTTAAAGATTTTTCTTCTAAAACTGACTGCACTGAATAACCTTACAGGCTATTGTTTTTCTGCTTATAGATCTAGTCACTGCAAAACCTGGCACTAAAATCACTTAACTAATTGTCAATAATTCTTCTCTTATTACAGCTGAACAAAAAATCATTACTAAACTTCCTATGATGTTTAATCTACTTTCTTTTCTTCCGGAACAACCATCAGGAATTTCTGTAGCCAAACTGTCATCCCGTCTGAAAAATAAAGAGTAAATCTTTTATGTTTAAACAGATCGATGAATTATTGCAGCCATACAATAATTTCATCTGAAAATGCATTTTAAATACACAAAATTGTGTTCTTAACCTATGGAGTTAGGTTCACACTTGTTTTTGGTGAAATTGCTAACCTTATTAAAAAAACATTCAATAAAATGAAATTTTGATTTTAATGTGGTTCTTCAAATTTAATTAATGGTAATGAAAAGCCTTTATCGATCCTATCGAGGTGTGTGTCTCAGAGAATTAGATTTTACAACAAGTGGTCGCCATCCAAAAAAGGTTGGAAACTTGTGCCTCAAATTAACAGAAGAAATATCAAGCACATATCTTAGTGGGACGAAAGACAAACTTCTAGAGTTGACTATCAATGCTTTAACCCTATATCCTTGCCTCGGGGGCCAAGCAAAGGGTCAATTTTGCAGACCTGACAGTCAATATGGTTTTGTGACGCCAGTAATTAGTCAGCAACACAACTCGTTAAGGTTAGCACTACCGAGCTCTAAAGTCATTGTTCTAACTGCATTTAATTTACTTACCCATATATCTGGTGAAAATTTTGGGCTTAGATGTCCAAGCAATGAAGATGATGTACACAGGAATGCCGGTACATATGATACCCAAGCCAATAACTGAAAGATTTTAAAAAAAAAACATTTGAAAATTGCTTTGTAGCAGCACAGGTATATTGCAATTAATTTAAGTAAAAAAGTAAAGAATCCTCTTTAGCAAGTCATTGGGCAGATGAAGTAAAGTTCATGTTTCTTGACCTCTGCATATGAAGGGAAAGTGCGGTTAGCACTTTGCCCACTTTCCCTAACATAAGTTAGGTTCCCATCAGAGCTGGGTGGACTCAAAGACATTCTAGACTTGTACTCAAATTCAAATCTTTGGTTTAGCAGCCTAGCGCTCTACCGCTTAGGCCATGCTTCCTGAACCAAATAAAAAATTATACCCCCCCCCCCCCCAGTGGAGAGGGGGGGGGGGATATAATGTCTCTACACCTGACCATCATACTAGGTTTAAAGCAATACTTCTAAGTTGGGTCGATAACATTTGTGAACTTGTCCTTCATTGACTACTCATCTTTTCCAAGTTTGGTGATCTTCGCTTGCACAAGGTAAAACCATTGCGCAAATGTTTTTCTTTAAATAAGGTTTGTATAAAGTAAACAGTTCTTGACTTACATGTTTCAACAGGACTGGCATACAGAGGCAATATGACCAGGTACACTGTTACAATGGTGTAGATGATGGGCCAGATCAGGTGTACCTGAGGGAAACATTAAACACATGACATCACTTTCAAAGGTATACAAGGAATAGACACTGTAGAGTGTCATGAGATTTGTTAGATCTGAAGAGAAGCTGGATTAAAATCTCTCATCTAATTTTATGATGTATTTTAACATTAATTAAAACTGAAAACAAATTTTTTTAAATGAGCATTCTGACAGTTGTTTTATGATGTATTTTAACATTAATTAAAACTGAAAAGAAATTTTTTTTTATGAGCATTCTGACAGTTATTTTATGATGTATTTTAAAATTAATTAAAACTGAAAACAACATTTTTTAAAATAAGCATTGCTGACAGTTAAATGTAAGGAGAAGATTAGCCAGGGTTAGGAAGAGAAGAAAAATCTCTTCAGATTGCAACTCATTAAAATTATCTTTAAAATTGCGTACCTTGATAGGTCTTGGCATATCTGGTCTCTTCCACCTGAGGTACATGAGGACAACAACTGCCATACCTATGGACAGCCAGGTGGCAAATCCAACATAGGTGATCAAAGCATAGATATCAGAGGATGCTAAATAGCACAGTGAGAGGGCTCCCTAAAACAGAAGATAGAACAACCCATGTCACACAAGCTAAATCTGCTAATGTAAAGGCATATCTTTTTAATTCTGCTAATGTAAAGGCACACCTTTTTTGTAAACATGTCAACACACAAATAAGAAAAGTCATTTATGGCTGTTTTTTTTATGGGACTAGGTTATTAACCCTAGGTTCATTATCCAGCTGTCAATTACTCTACCCTTTGAAAATACTAATATAACATAGGATGGGTGCAGTAAAAAAAAACCCCACATTTTACTATAGAATACTTGAAATAGGCAGACAGAACAAATTGCACTTTTGCTAGGCATTCTTTAGAATACAAATCAGCAAAGTGCAGATTAAGCATATCCTCCTCCCCAAACATATTCCTAACCTCAAATATACCTTTCCGATATGTGCGCAAAACATACAGAAGAGACCTGGTATCTGCACAAAATTAAACTGGACTAAACATGCGCCAGCCAGGTAAGGGTCATTAGTGCGGCTTAAAGCTGAGTGGGAATGGGGGGGGGGGGGAAGGGGGGGGGGGAATAAGATAGAGAGTAGGGAGACAAGTAAAAGCCTTGTGGGTGGTGATGATAGCCACACATTGCTATGGTGTGAAAAAGAAAATCCAGCAATAGAAGCAACTAGGTCTTAAAAGTTTAAAAAAGTACTTTACATACAAGTAATTACATACATGCTTTAAAACCTAAAAAATATTTTACCATAAACAAACATGCAGGCATGGGTGTTAATCTCTGAATCTGAACCATACTCAAGATCTGGGGCATATGTCCTTCACGTCCTCCCACATAGAACAATCTAAGATTAAAATAATCATTAATTAGTTGTGAATAAAGTAGTAAATCCTCAAATATAAACTCTTTATGAACGTTTTTCAGACAGTATTTATTTACACCATACTGAAAACAATAGTTAAAAAAAATGTAGCTTTGTAGTTATTGGACAATACAACAGCATCTAGTTGAACATTAAAGTAAACTTTTAAACAACAACTTACTGCTGTAAGTATTGTACGACTATTAAATTATCTTCCCTCGGAATAATCAAAACTGACTACTGTATTAGCGGATATTGGAGTGTTTTCATGCAACATATTTTGTGATAAACTTTTTTATTATTTTTTTTTTATTATTATTATTATTTTTTTTTTAAATAAAAGCTTTTATAAAATGAATACCTGGATGTTGTGAACAAGATACCGTTGACACCTCCAAAGGTGGACAAGGAGACAAAAACAGGCATAATCCACCACATAATGCCATACAAACGTCTGGAAAACATCTGTGAAAAAAAAAATTAAACGATAATATAACTATCAACCTGACCATCATATCCATTTTATTTATAAGCTTGATTATAAGTTTATGCAAAAAAAAAAAAAAATTTAAATTAAAAATTATTGGACAGCCTGAAAAGTTACAAGTAGGAGGTAGAACGTCCGCTTACCACAGCGACAGCAGCGCCACCTAGGATCTCATCAGGACTGACGGTGGTGAAGTAAGCAACATTGGTCATGACGTAGACGCATGTGACAAGGATGATGGAGATCCAGATGGCTTTTGGTAGATTTCTATTCAACAAATAAAACACTAGATGTAACTCAGGATTTTATTAACTTTACTAATATTTTATAGCTTTATTTCATGAATCATTTAACTATTCTCCTCTTTAACGCTTTACTTAAAAATTAATTTAGATGTTATTCTAAGATTTATTTCAAGAATCATTCCATATTATTACTAAATCTCAGCAGCCAGTAAAATTTAAAGCATCTTCACTTAAAGTTTTTTCATAAACTATAATAAAATCAAAGCAAATTTGACTAACTTGTATGGGTCTTTCAACTCTTCAATCACAAAGTTCAAGTAATTCCTGGTGAAATAAAACAATTTTTGAGTGAACCTCACTGTTGATGTGTTTGTGGAAAATGAGTTAATTAAACAAAACAAAAAGAAAAACACACAAAAAAAAAAAATGAAAATTAGAAAGCACTAAAAGTAACAGTACCCTTTGTGGTCACATTTTGTAACTTGAAACCATTTCTAATGAAGTTTTCTTTGTAATATAAATCCCCCCCCCCTTTCACCCAAGAGTTTTAGGTTGTTTACAAATGCTCCTTAGGGAAGCATTTGTAATTTTATTAAGCTTTAATAGTAAAGGTTTTGGTTTCCGAAAAATATTTTGAAATAGATTTTTAACACCAACATAATTTGTGTTGTTGTATCTAAAGAAAGTGTATCATAATTCTCATATTACGTGTTTTGAAAGTTCATTTTTTTTTATTTAGCGCTGACTAAACCCTCCCAAACCGTTTTGGGGATTTCTTAGTCCAGTTCCAGAAAATGATATAAATTAATATATGATGTAATGTGGGGCAACATTGGGTTAAAATATTCCTGTAATATCGAAGGGGAAATTCCATTCTTACAAATAAAAACAACGCTAATTCTGGCAACGTTTAACACATTTTTATCTGGCCACTGGCAAAAAAATAGATGTCTATTTTAGGCAACAGTTTCAGGTAGATTGCATCATACACTAAACCACTGTTTGCGTCAATGTCTTGGGCCTTAGGGTTTAAGCGATATTTTATTCAATCAATGAACACAATCATATACCGTCAGCAAGATTTAAGTTAAAAACGATTTCTCTAATCCTACGACTCAGGCCACACATTTCTCCTAATTGTTTCTCAATTTTCTCCCCAACTGCCTCGTCAATAAAAGTGTACATGACATGTCCTCTCTATAAACGTCAGCAGGGAGGGGGTGGGCGGGAACATCCCTTCATATTTTTCCTACGAACAAAAAACAGCGCGTCAAACAATGCTCGCCATTGGCCTATTGATTTTCCACCTTGGTGGCGGGAAAGGCTGAGTCGGTATGAAGGCGGTAAAAATGCTCGTTCAGTGGCACTGCTCGGGAATGGTTGGTACACACAACTCACTCGTAAGTAGGTCACGGAACGCTTCTCGTTTAATTGTTAGGGGAAGATGGCGGGAACGCCGGTATTGTAAACATTTTTATACACAAGAAAAAGTTATTATTGGACATTTAAAAAGTAAATTTTTAAAGAACGCCGAAAAGGAAAAGGAGCATTAATTATGTCAGGGGGACTCGGTTAAAGTTAGAAAAATAAGTCTACTACGTCTAGATCTAGATTCTAGTACGTTTTGGCGTTTATCACTTAGTAAATCTAGAATCTAGATTTTTTGTAATCTTTCTTAGATATCTAGATCTATATATAAATGTTGAACATTTCAAATGATGCAATTTAAAATAAATACCTATACAATTTAAACATACAATGATTCCGGGTCAAGCCCCGCCTTTTTTGAGCGAGCAACGAACCTGCCCTAATTTCTAGATTTGATCAAGTACAGCGCAGTGTAAGAAGTAAGTTGTGGTTTTGATGTAGATTTACAATTAGAACAAGTTAATTATTAAACAATGACCCGCTGCCTTTCAAGACGATTTAACGTGTCTCCGCATAAATTACAGGGAAACCATGACGTGGTCAGGTCTACCTATATTGTATTTCTGTTACTGACGTCTAGGCCTATGTAGGCTACATCCTTATTACTGCGTGATTTCGTCATCCATTTACTAGCCCCACGTGGGGGGGGGGGGTGTCAAGGGGGAGGGGTATACATATTTCAACAAATCATTAATCAAATAGTGAAACGCGGGAATGTTGTGGGATCTGCCTAGTTTATATATTAAAAAATAAAAAAATAAAAAGCAGTACTATAACCATTGTATTTTTAAATCACTTAAAAAGTCCTTGACCTATGTCAACTACACGCGGTAAGTTCCCGTCTATTGATCGCTGGGGGCCGGCATGGGGGTGGCGTAGACCTCTAATTAACGGCCCTAATCTTATCAGGACTGCTAACGAGGTCCAGCCGGTGGAGATAATCCAAACCATGACCAGACAATTACCGGGCCTGACCTCTAGAGCTCACCCGACCTTTAGACTTTAAGATTGTGTGAGTGGAGGAGAGAAGTCACGTGCTGATACAATAAAAAGTTGTCGGACAATTGTTACGAAACTATTTTCATTAAAGTTAACGATAATATGATTAAATGGGGTAGGCCCTATGGCCTATGTGAAATAGCAATGTCCGATAATGACACAATAATAAGAATCAGTGTTTCTTCCAGACTTTCCTCTCTGGGGGTGGGGTGGCGGGCGGACACTGGTAAAAGTATAAATTTTTTATATAAATTTTCAATATGGTAGGGGGGGGGGGCGTAGCCATCTTTAAAAAAAGGTTGTTAGTAGATACACATTAGCAAGATACACAAGTATGTCTTGCTAATGCCAATACTAACCCTATCCCCTAACCAAAGTCCTACTATAGCCCAAAATCTAATTTCTGACCATAAAACCAATGAGCTTACAATACTACTAAAACACTATTTTATCAGACATCTGTCATACCAATTCTCGAATTTAATCTCTGTCGCCCAGATCTACTTGAATTGTTTTCTTCACTAAAACTATAACCTAACAAAACGGTTTGGGCTCAGCTTCCCTGGTGGATGAGCCTTACGTTGACGGGACAATTTGCATAATCAAATAAGAAAGCTAGACGGGAAATCATATTAAAGGGGTCGGATTTCAACGGCGCTTAGTTACATCACATTCTGTTCTGTGATCGGTTGTAAATTATTCTAGAGCAGGATTTCAGTCGACAAATGCTACAGGGGCCAGCCAGTCGAGTTTAAGGACCACTGCTACAGGGGCCAACCAGTCGAGTTTAAGGACCACTGCTACAGGGGCCAACCAGTCGAGTTTAAGGACCACTGCTACAGGGGCCAACCAGTCGAGTTTAAGGACCACTGCTACATGGCCATCCAGTCGAGTTTTAAGGACCACTGCTACATGATCATCCAGTCGAGTTTAAGGACCACTGCTACAGGGGCCAACCAGTCGAGTTTAAGGACCACTGCTACATGGCCATCCAGTCGAGTTTAAGGACCACTGCTACAGGGGCCAACCAGTCGAGTTTAAGGACCACTGCTACAGGGGCCAATCTGTCGAGTTTAAGGACCACTGCTACAGGGGGCCAACCAGTCGAGTTTAAGGACCACTGCTACAGGGGCCAACCAGTCGAGTTTAAGGACCACTGGAGTCGTATAAATTCAACTTTAAACACGTGCAGGCTAAGAATCAAACTTCAACAGGGGACATCCACTTCCTGCCCACGTGATATGACCTGAATCTCAACTTGGAAGAAAACAAGTTGAAAATAAAACATTAAGCAAAAGCTGCTTCCATTCCATTTATTTGAAGAAAGAAAAATCGGTCTGGTAGCCTTTAGTCGAGACACCCCTCCCCCTTTTCCACTCGTCAACGGAAGTGAGTGATAGATTAAGGTATAGCATGCAAGAACGCAATCCATCCCGTGAGCCTTTCTTCCTGTAGGGAATCAGCTTATGATGGCCAGACACCACAGGCCATCGCTACGATCACACCGCAACTCGTCCCCCACTATAAAACAAAGAACAACTGAAACTTTGAGACGTTTTAAATCTACATAAGAAGGAGAGGGGGACAGAAAGGACATGAGAGTAAGCTAGGCTTATTTCGGCGGCTATTCAGACCCCGGGGGCGCTAACGATTTCTATAATCCCTCGTCTTAAAGATATCAGCCCTGAACGTCACGTGGTACATTTGTTTCTAAAAATAGTGAAACAGAACGTGGCAATACAACAATTAATACACATTTCCACTTGTTTAGGCTTTAAAATGTGTACACAATGGAAGCTAATGGTCAAACGATTCACGCTAGTTCCCGAGTATTACAAGTGTTTACAAGTGATACCAACAACTTGAGTTCTGTTGGATGTTCAAAGCATCGGTAAAATTGATTTGGTGTGTGTGCGTGTAATGGGGGGGGGGGGGGGGGGGGAAGGGACGATTGAGAGTTGGCATCAAACACGAAAACTCGTGTTGGCTTATCATTAGGTTTGCCTGTCACCCCTTCTAGGACGAAGGCCGCTGACAAGAGCTTTGCAGTCGTCTCTGTCCTTGGCTAGTCTCTCCAACTGTCCCCAGGTTTATCCAATCTTCTTGGTGTCTTCTTTCGGGTAATGTTGTCTATCATAGACCCCCCTATTTTTCAACCTGTATTGCACATATATTCTCCCGTTTAAAAAAACAAGTCAGTAAGGTACTCGAACTAATGCATCCCAATTACAAATCACCTTTAAAACAGTTGTCCTATGATATTTATGCACATGAATAAATTATACTAAGCATACCATTTCAGAGGATATAAACTGTCTAATTAGCATAGTCAGCGCTAACTCCTTAAATCCCCTCACAGATGAAGGTAATAATAACGTATGGGTAATATTCGAACATAGTGTGGAGGGCGAATGGGTTAAAGATCTACTGATAACTACAAACTGGTTCTATTTTTAAGGTGTAGTTTTACTCCGGGAGAGATACATTCCCCAGAGAGGCTTGTTAAAGAACGATAACTTTTACTACTCGTTAGGAGTTGCTTCCCTTTGGTCCTTGATACAGTAACAGAACATGCATTTTGAACATATTTTTAATAACTGATCATCTATTACCAATGTATTATTAAACAGAAAAGATTTTCAATTTAAGAAAGGTTCAATAATTAGCTAGACATCCTACATTTTAATAGAGTAAGATCAAGGTTAGTTACCTACAACTAAACAGCAATACATCTAAAATTTTAAGTGAGTTTGTGCAAGCAAGTATCTTACAACTTAATCAATGGTTCTTAACCTTTTCAGGTACCGGACCCCACTAGTTTCTTATGCACATTCACAGAATCCTTCTTAATAGTCCGATTGTCCACACTGACAAAATCCAGTCTGGAATCACACCAGTTGGGTATGTATCTTGACCTCTGATGAACCCCTGAGATTGAATCTTATCAAACCCAGGTTGAGAACCACTGAACTAAATAGACAGCGTTACATCCAAGTTTGTGAGAAAAGCAACTCACCACCCATTGTAAGCAAACAGCCCTGAGTAGAAAGCTAAAGATATCTCTCCTATATTGGTCTCAGTGTTGGCAAATGGTTCTTGGAAATGTTCATACTCTCCTGGGGAAGATAGATAGAAATGTTGAACAGATAAGATAGGACACACACACAGAAGTTCAAAACTGATGTGTGGGTGTGTGGGGATCAAATATTAATGTGGGGGTGTGAGGGGTGAATCCTATCTGAAGGATACACATTAGATATGCAATAAACTGTTCCTGAATTAATTTTTTTTTAAATCTGCAATGCAACAGGTTGGTGTTTTAAATATTGTTGCCATAGTAACCAAATTGTTTTTAAATGTGCCATTTAATTCTATACAGCACATCTACTCTAAGCACAGGATAATTTTGATTTTCTGTGGTGGGGGGGGGGGGCACTAAGCATCAATGTCTATAGCAAGATCTGCTGATAGTTACACTAACACACAAGATACATAGGAAAACATATTGTATAAAACATCATATGTTCAATTGTTGTTAACCTTTGATTAGCCAACATTTACACTCAAAACATAACGGGAATTTAAAAAGTGCTTGGACCTCGTAAATTCACCTGAGGGACAGTGAATAGTCTATAGTCTACCCTAGTGTTTTTGTTGCCGTAGAGAGACTCATGTAAAAGAGGGGTTAATTATTGTACAAACTCACTTGCAAGAGTAAAGAAATTGGTGGCTTGTAATTAAAATTTAAAAGTGATTCATTATATGACTGAGTGAGTGATTATTATAGTTATTTTAAAGGAAAAGAGAAAGTATTATAATATCTAAATAGTATGTATTAGCTATATAATTTATGTATTAGCTTCATAGAGCCTTATTGCCTAAGGCTGCTAGCTATTGATCACCGAGTTATGTGGGTTGTTTACGAATGTTGACATTGACGTCACCCAGAGTTCCCTGCCCTTGACTACTCACCTCTCCCCAACTGCACGAATCCGGTGACTATAATTAGACACAGGGCCGCAAGCTTGGCGTAGGTGAATACATCCTGTACCCTAGTGGCCCACCCCACGTTGGCACAGTTCACAAACGTGAGAATCACTGAAAGTGGAAACAAAAGAGGGATTTGACGACAACTGTTGATTTAAACATTTGTATCATTAGCGGGCTTATTGTAATATGTTGAAACCTAATTTATAGTACAAAAATGGTTTAGTTCAGGGATATTGGTATAATATTTCATTAAAATTTCATTACACCATAGAACAGGGAAGCAACTTTTTAACAACCTCTATCATATTACACGTAAAAAGAGACAAGACTGCTTGCAGTAGTACGTGTGTTCTTGCATATGTCTGTCTGTCTGGATATATATATATATATATATATATATATATATATATATATATATATATATATATATATATATATATATATATATATATATATATATATACATACATATATATACATACATACACTTTACAGTTAAAAGAAATACAAAACAACAAAACAGATAACAGTACGGTGTAAAGGTAAAGTACGCGCAACCATTACATCAGACAAAAATATGTACGCCTACAAATATGACGACACGGCGCGGAGTTATGCATTCCGTGAGGACACGGCGCGGAGTTATGCATGACGTAAACACACGGACAATGGATCCGGTACCGTGTGGATCAACACCGTACACCTTACAGTGAGACACTGTCTCGGTAGGGTGCTGCGGGAAGTAAACAAAGGGAAACAATGCCAGAGTTCATTAGCGAGACCTGAGTTGTACTTAAAATATAACTTGTAGAGGCTTGTGTTAAAACACGGGCAGGAGGCGGCGTACCAATAAGAATTCATGATGTTAAATATAAGGTATTTTTATAAGGGGAAAATAGGGTTCATTGATATGAAAACAGTGTTTTTTTTATGTTTACACATACTTCATAAAACAACTAAAATAGAACACAACAACAGGTGTCAAAAATATTCTATGTTAATGTGTACATCTGCATTTAAACAATATACAGTGATGAAATGAGCGATGAATCATGTGATCGCAATGGTTTAGATAGTAGGACAGGCTAGGAGAAGACGCCATTCTCCCAGCAATCACATTACGAGGCGTGAGTTCACACCTTACGTTCTATTGCACGTGAGTGTGTGTGTGGCACGTGAGTGTGTGTGCGGCACGTGAGTGTGGGTGTGTGTGGGCTCTAAGAGAATTGTGAAAACAGATCGAATACCGGTTTAAACTAGATCTCGCTAGAGAAATGAGGGGGGGGGGGGTTGTAGAGACGATTGAGTACTCGTCACAAGAGGAAAAAGGGGGGAGGGGGTAGAGCTTGTGGTGACAACGTCACTTGTTGAAGTGTCTGAGAACGAGACTTGATTTGATTCCAGTTGACATCCAGATATAAAAGGGATAATTTAGTTAGGGTGTGTTTATAAAACTGAGTAACTTAGTTTATCTCTCTGTCTGGTAGTTTGTCTATCTATCTATCTATCCATCACCCATTAATGCGTCTATCCCACTATCTTTCTATCATATATATATATATATATATATATATATATATATATATATATATATATATATATATATCGTACATCTATTTACATACAGACATGCATACATACATAAACACACACTGTATAAATACACAATATGGGTAAATGCTTTAAACTTTACATACAGACATACATAAACACACAGTATAACTCCACAATACGGGTAAATGCTTTAAACTGAGACGTTAAATGAAAGCAGCCCGCTGTGGGGGAAACAATACGGACATAAAGTTAATTTGTCTAATGCTCTGTGACGTGTTGGTTGGAGCTTCGTGGTACACAACCTACCAGAGGACAGTATTGATTTCAAGGGAGATGGAACCAACAGACCAGGCAGAGTTTCTTTCAGGCATCTCTTCGCAGGGGCGGAGCCCCCCCCCCCCCCAGACAAAATAGTTTATATTGAAAATATATACTTTTACCAGTGTCCGCCGCCCCCCTCTCCAACTCCGGAAATTTAGGCCGCTCCCCCCCCCCCTCCATGTTGAGAAACAAAACATGCATTCTAGCATACACTTTGCAAAATACTATAGTTGGTTTCTGCATGGAGTATTATGGATACTAAAGTTATAACAATGTAATAAAAACACAATGATCAACATTGATCGGGTGTGGAGCCCTTGAGTGGAGAGAATAATGACAATGTCAGTCGTGAAAGAGGTAGAATGTACCGGGAAAACTTGACCTGAAGTGATGAGAGTAGAGAGTCTGGCCTCATCCATACTTTTGCCAGTTAAGGTACAATAAAATACTGAAAAGAATACGATTTAACGAGTTTAATAAGATAGGATAAGCAACAAAGACAATCCAGAATGGACTATAGCAATAAATACAGGCAAGTCCAAGACGGATTATTTATAAATGGAGGTCCTTTAAAAAATAGAAACAATCTAAATAAAGAACTAATAACTATATGCATTAACGTTATTATTTAAATGCGTCGTATAATCAATGAATGAATCAAGCTCCACCTTATAACAACCACTATTTACATCCCAGCGGACCAAGTTTAAAAAAAATTAAATATGGTTTCTGAATAAGGAACCACAACCAATGAACGGAACAAAGCAATTCTCTCCCCTTATGACAGTCTCATCCCATGCGCAAGTTCATTGGAAACATGTTGAGTTTACAGACTGTTCTTAATTCTCCCCCCCCCCCCCCTCGAGATTGGACCCAGCGAGCCTAGAGGAGAGGCGATACTCCCCCCCCCCCCCCCCCCCCCCCGGAGATTGGACCCAAGGAGCCTGGGGGAGAGGCGATAAGAAGAAATCAATTGAGATTCCAGCTGTCTCGGTTTATTCTTCTCATCACGGCTTGCTGTTTCTTAATTGACAAGATGAGAGGGGCCGCTACCCATTCACAATTTAGCCTGTATTACCGCCCCCCCCCCCCCCAACCAAACCCCCATCGGCAAATATTAACTTTAAAAAATTTATTTTAAACACTTCTGAGACCAGATTTGTTTACTTAAAAACAGAATTAGAAAAACAAGTTTTTAAGGAGGAAGGCAGCGGGAGGAAAATCAATACAATTTTAATAAACAATGTTTTAAAAATAAAAATCTTTACGCAAATATTATTACGTTTGTAGTTTTAGTTTAAAGACGGTATCTTCATAAATGTTAGGAAAAACATTTAACTCCAAGAAAACGATAATGGATACTTTACACACGGTGGATGTAAAACTACACAAATTTGGCTTTCTGTGGATAAATGGTATCGCACGTTAACTTTGGGGTGTGTAAACACACGTCTTGCGCGCATGATGAAAAGGGGAGGGGGTATCAAAGTCACACTGATAAAAAAACCTGGGGATACGGACGTCTAAATTTGGCGGTTAGCACGCGGCACACGACAGCAAATTAATTTCTTGGCTTGTCACGTGTCCGGGGGTCTGAACGGCAGAAATAATTCCACTCTCTCGACTGCTCAGCACGTTTTGATCGCTGACTAGTGGGATTTTTTTAATAAAGTCTTGGACTCGCTATAGGAATATTGCACTGCCCACCCCTTCGTCCCAAAAAAAAAAACGTCTTTAGAGAATTAATATTCACTGACCGCACTGCCTTTGTTTAAAATCCACCAGTTTATAAAGAGAATCGTAAAAAAAACAAAGATAACCGATGCCCTTTTTGGCATGAATATTCATGAAGGGGTGATGCAAGCGGAAGATGTAGACGGAAATCGCGAGGGAGATGGTCGGACCATGCCATGCGCTGGTAGAAGGAGGCGGGATTCAGTTCCGTGTAACTACAAAACAACAGCTTATCAAATGGCATTTATCTCCAACACTGTTTCTGTTCTTTTAAACACGGTACCATGAGAAATGTGGTATATGTAAGGTAATATCCTAACTTCAAGGAGAATTTGTTTCACAGTATTTGAATTAAACTTATGACAATTTCAATGCTTTCGAAATTGGACTATTAACTATTTAAACTTTTTTTGTTGGGTTATTTTTCTTTCTTTCTTTCTTACAAAGGAATCCGTTTTTATAATGTCCACACTAGTAAGAGGTCAAATATTCATACCACTGACATATCTACTATGATCTCGTCTTTTCTATTGGATATCGTGACATTTAGACAAGACGTGTTTTCACTGTCGAACTAAGTCCAAATGTGTATTACTGTTTGTCTTTTATGTCTAATCTGTAATCACACTGTTGTGTGCTGACGAAGACCTTGGGTCGAAACGTCCATAGTATTTTTAACTGTCTTTACTTGTGATCTAACTAACACTATGTTTTATTATTACTAGGATCGCGTAAGTTTCACATTCTAAAGAACACGAGAGGTAAATCTCCACCAGCCCAACATAACAGATCCCAGTCAGGCTAATCCAGGCAGTCACCACATTGCTACGGCGGCCTCAAGGCTGATCGATGTTCAAACCCTCTGAGATATTTGACCCAGTAATTGATCCATCAATAACAATAACATCAAAGTGCCACGTGACAGACTGGGGACTAAATGAACTCTGTTGTCCAGGGCGTCACTCACACATGGTACCGTACACCCTCCTCCTCCACGCGTTACATATAACAGTTATACGATACGCCCCGTTTCACGTGTATAGTACTTTTAGGGAACTTTATCTGCACGATCATGATTGTGTACAACTAATTTAGGTCGACGTGTTGTATACAAATGTATCGATATGCCTCGTTTCACATAGTAGTATATGTACTTTCCGCTTCTTTAGTACAATACAGTACTTTGTAGAGATACGGCATTCAACCTCACTTCACACAAAGTATATGATGCAAATCTAGTTACACCACACACAGGACCATACACCTTACTGAATACAAGTCACGTATGGCAATCTCATTCTCGTGTATCTATCGCATTAGTTGGACTAAGCACAATATGCTATATAAAACTACGGACCATCTCGTTACCATGGCAACCGCCGGAATACGAATTTCATCTCTAATTGACATTCCAGCAACGTAAGGTGTGCACATACACCACACAAAGCCAGTCTGTATCTTCTAACACGCCGTATCACGCAACCAGGAACAAATCTCAA